AGCTCGAGTGTGTTTTAGATGCCCTCTTTTTTAGTATATATACATACATATAAGCTTGGCAAAGAAAGCCGATAGATGATTGAGTCAAACAAACAGTAGGCACCGTAAGTAAAGTGTGTGAATCACTGTGATTTATAGCGTGTGTTATAAAAGTTGTTAAGTTTAGAATGACGAGATACATACTCACTGTGAAATTACTGTGTATTAAAAGTTTGTATCTAGGAAGAATAAATTGGGTTAATCAAGAAAGGACTTGTATCGCTGAAGTTTCTTGGAAAGAATTTATACCAGAAATTAACAAACAAGCAGATACGCAACAATATAAAATTAAAAATAATAATATAATAAAATATTCTAACAAGCCACTGATGCAAACAGCTCGTGGATAATGTAATTCAGTAACATAACATGTCCTCCACGATCCCCAAGTGACTTACAAGTTTTAATGGTGCGAATAGTAGTTAGACATGATTCAAAGGGCAATAAAATAATAAAATTTAATTATAAATAGATGTATACTGTTATGAGTTTAAGGAATGCAGTTTCATGTTACAATTTGAAGTCATTCTAGAATGAAAAAAAGGTAATTTAGAATTATTTCGATTTTGTTTTTGGAGGTTATGAGGTTGGTTAAATTGACCAAACTCGTACAGAATTAGGGTAAAGAAAATAAGAGATAAAATATAATGTTTTACTGAAAACAAATGCTTAAAATATATTTAAGAGGTTTTAGAGATTATACAAATGAAGTTTGAGGTTTTTCAGATGAAGAGAAGTATTTTTAATCTTAACATGAAAATCACTTTGCACATGGACTATTCAAAACAAATACTCGATATATTCACAGAGAAATTTTTTTAAATATTTCACTAAAAAATATGACTTTTTGTATGTGAAAGACTTGTAATAAATACTGAAAGACTGCCAAATTTTGTGAAGATGTACATACTATATTGAAAGTTAGTAGTATCAAATCTACAAAGACTTTAATCGAGTACAAAGAGGTCACGTAGTCAGTCTTGTGTTGAGAGAGTTAAACCATAGATGTTGGTCCAGATATTGGCTCCACTCCTAAACAAATGAACAAAAGACTTCCCCTTTTCAACGTTTAGTTAGTTCATTTGAGAGAAATCAAAGTTTAATGATGAACAGTAGAGTGTGGACAAGTGTGTACAGCAACAAATGTTCAAAAATTAAAAGTTTGTTACTACACACACACTTGTCAAAAGTTTGTTGTTGCTGCCATCATTTTACTGTTCATCATTAAACTTCCCTTTTTGAACCCAAAAATTTTCCATTTATAAAAAGATAATACTGTGTAGAAATCCTCACAAACTTTTATAGTTTGAGCATAAATGTTTATTTTTAATTGAAAAATTACTTTATTGCATTTTTTTTTCATTATGTTACTTGACTATTTTGGATATTTTTTGTTCTACAAGTTATATTAATGTATACAAGTTCACTGAAAGTATGTGCTATAATATTATAGAATGAATTATTTTACATTTACAGTTTTTTTTATAAATATAGTAGAATATTAGACAATCATGAGTATTGTGTGAAGTTTTGGAATATTTTCAAAAGTAACATAATTAAGGAAACTTTTTTTACACTTACATTTATTTTAAAAGTCTAACATCACACTCAGTTTGGACTTACTATTTGAAATGTTTACCAAATTCTGTTTAGTCCCTTTTTATGAACTTTGAAATCCATGTCATACTTCACATTTTAAACCCTGAATAGTTTTCTTGATATGTGATAATGTTATAAGATATTAGTTTAGTTTTCATTGTACATATATATATATATATATATATATATTGTTACGTCTCTATTCATTTGTTAATTTTCCGTAGAAATTCTTTCCGAGAAACTTCAGCCGATACAAGTCCTTTCTTAAATAAAACTAGTTTATTCTTTCTCAATTCAACTTTGCAGTACACTTAATTCCACAGTCACTTTAACTTAAACGCACGCTAGAATTCACAATGATTCATGTACTTTACTTACGGCTTGACTCGATTATCTGTCTCTATATCTCTCTGTCTGCAATTCAATTATCTATCTCACTTTATTTGCCTGCTTATATATAGAATAGAGGGTGCGTAGAAAAGACTAGAGTTGCCAGGAAGAGACATGATCCTTCTAGAAACTCATCACGTGTTACCAGCGTCACGTGACTTCCACTGTCGTAACAATATATATTTATGAATTGGCTTTTATTTGAAAGATAGTACGTTACCAGAGCAAAATTAAACTAATTACACTTTTCATAGTATATAGATCTTGAAGTTATTGACATGTATAAAATAATACTGATATTCAGGTTTATTATGTGGAATATACATGTTTGATATGAATCTAGAACATAGTTCTAATGAATGTTTTGGAGATCAGGAATTTGCCTATTTGTGATGAATTTTATTATGCAGTTTATAAAGAAATTGCGTTAAGTTTACATAATTAAAACATTAAGATATTAAGGCTACTCATGCTCAGAACATATAGGTCTTACTTTATAAATAGTGTCATAGCAAAATAAAGACTTTATCATAAAAACAAATATTTATTTATTGTATATAAAGGCAAATATGGCTGTACACTATTTTAACCTAGTAATTTTTTTGACACAAATTGTGACAAACCTTATTTAGACAGATATATTTACAATAAAACTGAAAACAAAATCAAAAATATGTTTATTTCATTTTCAACTGTTGTTTATATTTATAAAAATACCCTTGATGAACTCTGTTCAATTACTGGAATTCTCTGATTACATTGGATTAAAATGATGGCACGACAAAGAGCAGATTTAGGGTCATTTGATACAATTGACATCACTATTAAAAAATGTAGTCACCTGGGTTAATCACTGGTGAAAGATGTGAACAAAGTATTGTTGCGTCAGCGAGGTCACGTGACTGTATGACT